GGTTCTGAGCTCTCCCAGCCCCCGGTTCTGAGCTCTCCCAGCCCCCGGTTCTGAGCTCTCCCAGCCCCCGATTCTGAGCTCTCCCACCCTGTTTCAGGTTTGATGGGTCTGTTTGAGAAGCGCCGCTTCAGGAAGTTCCTGGTGTACGTGGCCAACTTTGACGAGAACGACCCGCGGACCTTCGAGGGCGTGGACCCCAAGAAAACCACCATGAGGGATGTGTACAAGAAGTTTGACCTGGGCCAGGATGTCATTGACTTCACAGGCCATGCCCTCGCTCTCTACAGGACTGATGAGTGAGTGGGGGGGCTCAGCTGCTCCCCAAATCCCAGGGTTTGGGGTTATGATGGGGTTGATTGGTTATTTTAAAACATGGAGGGTTCCTGAGCTAAACTTGTGCCACCGAGTGCTCCTGAAAGGAACTGCCAGGGAAGCAGTGCCAGGAGCAGCTGCAGGGTGGGGAAGGAAGGCAGAGTTTGCTCTCTGGGTGTGTTGTGCTGGAAGTGCTGCTTTGGGGACGTCCCAAACGGTGTCACTGTCCTTCCCCAGCTATCTAGATCAACCCTGCCAAGAAACAATCAACAGGATCAAGCTGTACAGCGAGTCCCTGGCTCGGTACGGGAAGAGCCCCTACCTGTACCCCCTGTATGGCCTTGGAGAGCTGCCCCAGGGATTTGCAAGGTGAGCTGCCCTTGGCTTGCACTTGGTTTGCACTTGGCTTGCACTCTGGGTGTCACTCTGGGTTTCCTCCAGTGGGCTGTGCAGTGGAGTTGGATGTGTGGAGTCACTGCTTGAGCTTCCAGAATGTGCTGCTGCACAAAATGCTGTGCTCCTTAATGCTTCTTTCACTTAATTAAGAGATGGTTCCTCCACGTGAGATTCTTTCTCTGTGGGCTTGTTCACCTCTGGGTTTGCTGAGGGATACTGTTGGCAGAGTTTATCCCTTGTGTTTGTTTAAGCAGAGGGTTCTGAGGAGGTGTGAGTGTGAGGAGGGTTTATCCCAGAGGAGCAGCCCCTGGGGCTGGAGGTGCTGAAGGGATTTTCCTGTTGCAGGCTCAGTGCAATCTACGGAGGCACCTACATGCTCAACAAGCCCATCGAGGAGATCGTCATCGAGAACGGCAAAGTGGTCGGGGTCAAGTCTGAGGGGGAGGTACGGACCCTTCCCTCCTTCCCTGCTCCCCCTGAGCCCCTCAAACTCACATCTTGTGGGTTTGATCACAACAAACACAGAAAACCCTTTCTGAGCCCAGGGCCAAACGTTGGGCTGGGGCTGCTGTCCCTGTGCCAGCCCACTGAGCACACGATGTCCTGGTGGGCAGAGCCCTCAGCACCCCTGCTCCAGGAGTTGGGGTGAAGTGTCCATGGGCTGGCAGGGAATAATTGAGGGAGGGAGCTGCTCCTGGTGTCCAGCTCTGCCCTTGGCACTCTCAGTGCTCTGACAGCTGGCACGTGGCCTTCCTGCAGCTTCTGCACCACCTGGCCGGTGGAGCTGGGAATGCTGCCAGTCTGGGAGCTGAGTGGGCACTGATGGGACAGCTGGTGGGATAACGTGTCCCTTGGGGTGGGAATGACGTGTCCTGGCCGGGAACAGAGGTGACAGTCCATGCCAGAGAGCAGAGTGTGCACAGCCTGGAGGGTTCAGATGGATAAATGGTGAATTATTATGGAGGAACCATTTGTGATGTGAGCTGGGTGATTCTCCCGCTGGCTCTCAGGTGGCTCGCTGCAAACAGCTCATCTGCGACCCCAGCTACGTGTCGGACCGCGTGACCAAGGTGGGCCAGGTGATCCGCGTCATCTGCATCCTCAGCCACCCCATCAAGAACACAAACGATGCCAACTCGTGCCAGATCATCATTCCACAGAACCAGGTCAACCGGAAATCAGGTGTGTGCAGGGGGTCAGCTGGGACAGGACAGGGATGGGACAGGAGAGGGACACGGACACGGACAGGGATGGGACAGGGACAGGGATGGGAGAGGGACAGGACAGAGACAGGGACGGGACAGGGACAGGGATGGGACAGGACAGGGACAGGGATGGGACAGGGACAGGGACACAGACAGGAGAGGGACGGGGCACAGACAGAGACAGGGACAGGGACACGGACAGGACAGGGATGGGACAGGGACAGGGGCACAGACAGGGACAGGACAGGACCGGGGCATGGACAGGGACAGGACAGGGACAGGACAGGGACAGGACAGGGATGGGACAGGGACAGAACAGGGACAGGATAGAGA